GGGGGGGGGGTTGATAGTTGGGAAACTCTATTCATAGCAATTATAGTATTATGATTGGGGTGGGGGGGGGAGGGTAAGAAATGGACACAAGAAGACGTTAACTTTTCCTCAGTGCATCACAGTACTTTGCCGGAGCACCTTGTTGCTGAACGGCCCTGTAGTTTTGATGATGTGATTTGTAGAACTAAAAAAATGAAAGTTCATGAAATGAATACGAAAAATACAAAATTCCACTCAAAACAAACGCATGAGACAAAAAATTAAGTTCTTTGAATTTTAATGTATAATAAAAGGTGCATAGTTAAAAAATGAATCAGGTATATCAAAAGCTTCATCACCGTGCAAAAAAAGAAAAATGTAAAAATAACTTTTTGAACGTTCTAAATTTAGACAGATTCTATAAACATTAAAAGAAGAGAAAATAACGATACCTCTCACTACCTCTCACTACCTCTCGCTAGCTCAGCTGGGCTAATTTTTTGTTTTTGCCCTTTGAATTACCGTCGCTAAAATAAAAGGATGTTTAGTTAGGTGTTTCAATTACACCAGCTTTCGTATTAAAATTCCTGTTATATTTATATTAATATTTTTATATTAATTCTTATTTCAATGTCTCTTTAACTTTTTGATTTCTTATGTTAATTAAAAAAATACCTTGAGAAACTACAAACTTACCGTTTTAGTTTGGTAGACAGTTATCGCACTTGGGTGGGGTGGGGGGATCCTTTGGGATATTAGCCCCCCTCTCTCCCACCCCTCCCCCCATGTAGACACCCCTGATCTCACCAGATTTATATTTTGGAAAGTTAGTTTGAAAGTTAAATGAACAGACCATTCCTAAAAAATATGCCTAAACATAACACATATAATATAAAATAAAAAATAAAATGACAATGTATGAAAGAGTTAAGCCATAGATCATATAGTAGCCATAAGAATCTACAGTAAAAATTTGCTTAGAAAAATGTTACAATTTGTTCAGGTTATAATAGTGTCACTTTTTAAAGGATGTTCATTATAACGGAGATCAGAGGAGAGGTTGGTGATTTGCATAATGCATTAATAAACTCTTTAGGTTGAGAGGTTCAAATACAGTCTGATGGTATATGGCAGTGGTTCCCACCGTGATTAATGGAAGGCACTGAGAGTGAGAGTGCGCTTCTCATGGGCTCAGCAGCCGCTGCAGTAATAAAATAAATAAATAATGAGTGAAATTAAAAGAACAAGCAAAAAATATTTAAAAAATACAAATACATTTAAAAACTGCAAATTAAATTCTGAACGGAAAAATGTCGTATGCCCAAGTGATTTCTTGGAACTGAACATTTGAGAAGAATCCCACGCATTCCCAGAACCGCTTGAAGCTTCTCGAGGCTATCCAGTCACTTGTGGGTCACGGTGAATTTGCAATAACGTGATTCTTCTGTAAGTTATCTGTGCCTTTGGTCGTCTTTAGTGTTCTCCGGTTAGTTATTGTTCAGTAATAAAGTGTTAGAGAAGTTTGTTCTTCTTGTTCATTTCTCTTTCAAAAAGCATCTCAACAGAAAACATGAATATAAGAGAATATAAAATGGGGTCATAGGTCAAACATTATTTTTGAAAAAAATAATCTAAATAAATGAAAATAAAAAATAAATCAAAACTAAAAAAAAACGAAAACAAGTAAAGCTCAAGAAATATGAAAAGATAAAATATTGTTCAAAACCAAAAAAAAAACAACTAGATAATACATACTTAAATCAATATAATGCATACTAAAATCTACATAATACATACTAAAATCTAGATAATGCATTCTTAAATCTAAATAAAACATACTTAAATTTAGTAATACATACTTCCAGCTAGATAACACATATTTAAATCTAGATAACTCTGATAATACATACTTAAAGCTAGATAAAACATCGTTAATGCTAGATAATATATGCTTAAATCTAGATGATACATACTTGAATCTAGACAATACTTTTTTAAAGCTAGATAATATATACTTAAATCTAAATACGGTAATACATACTTAAATCTAGATAATACATACATCTATGTAATACATACTTAAAGCTAGATAATACATACTTAAATCTAGATGATACATACTTAGATCTAGATAATTCATACTTAAATAATCTATACTTAAAGTTAGATTAAAACATTTTTAAATCTAGATAATACATAGTTAATGTTAAATAACACATACTTAAATCTAGATAATATATGCTTAAATCTGGATAGTACATACGTAACTCTAGATAATACATACTGAAAGCTAGAAAATACATTTTTAAAGCTAGATAAACACATAGATCTACTTAAATCTATGTAATACATACTTAAGGTTCGATACAAACATACTTAAATCTTGATAATACATGCTTAAATCTAGATCAAACCTATTTAAATCTTGATAATACATGCTTAAATCTAGATAAAATACAATTAAATATGGTTAATATATACTTAAATCTAGAGAAAACACATTAAATATGGATAATATATACTTAAATCTAGATAAAACACACTCAAACATGGATAATATATACTTATGGTTAGATTTTTAAAAAAAAACATACTTAAATCTAGATAAAAACATATTAAAAGATAATTAATAATTAAAGAAGGTAATACATACTAAAATCTAGATAATACATACCTAAAGCTAGATAGAAATTACTTATATCTAGATAATACATACTTAATTAAGCTAGATAGGTTTTCTAAGTGCAGGATTAAGCAAAGATAACTTATATCATAATGATAAATGGTTAATTTAACAATATTCAAATAAAATAAATTGTAAGGTTCATTTATATTGTAGGTCATTACCCTGATTGTACATTTGGTCAATTATTTGTTCCAATTTTATAAAACTTAAAGATGTGGAAGCAATTTGCGGTACGTTACCCAAGAAGCCAATGAAGCAGATATAATAAATTTGTTTCTTGTTCAAGCTAAGAGAAATTTACCCTTCATCTTGTTAGGTTGTCTAACTTTATTTTTAAAAACTAGATTTTAGCTGTATAAAATATTTTAGAGTTGAAATACTTTTTTATTTTAGAAAGTTATTTAAATCAGCGGTTCTCAGCATTTTTATTTCTATAGCCTACTTTAACATTTTATTTAGCTTGGCGCCCCTCCCCTCCCCTGATTATTTCATCTTTTAAAATGTCTATTTAATACATAAAGGACCTTTCCCAAAGTTTTCGAAATATGCTGTGCCCCCTGTCCCATGTTGAGAAATTGTGCTCTAATCTGAATTCTTTCATATATATTCTATGGGGTAATTAAAATGGTATTACAACATAACAAAAAGTTACTTAAAAAATGCAGATTTAATTATTAACAAAAGCGTCAGACTAGCATATTCATTGTGTTTCAGATTAACATGTTTAACTAATTTAAAAAATTAAAATATTTATCATTCCAAATAATTCATATATTAGTTCCTTTTTTAAAATGATATTATATTTTTGGAGACCATGGAAAAATTATTTTTGGGAAAAAATAAAACTTTGCGAATCCTTCCCCATGGACTGGAATACAATTAGAAAGCTTGAAAACTGTGTTTTAAAGGGAAATAATCAATTCCTTTTTCTTTTTTTTAAGAATTACATTTAGAGATGGTTATATTAATATAATGTGTGTGCTTAAAATGTGTTGCATAGAAATATAATAAGCAATGAACATGAAAGCTTAATTAAGGTTGTTTTATTTACTTTACACATCTTTAGTCTAGTTATCATTTAGTAATGATTCACATTACGCTACATTATTGTAGGAGTTCTTTTAAAAGGAATAAAAGGCTATAATTAAAGTTCAAATCTCAAATTCTGTGATTTAGATCAATAAAATATATTTACCGTAATTTTTTAAAATGATGTTAACAAAACAATGTGCGAACATAACATAAAGACGTTCTATTAAAGTAACTCTTTGTTGATGTGTCCCTAGCGCTGGGGTAATTATTCAGATGAGCCCAGGATGCTCTTGATTTTCTTGTTGATTTCCTGCAATTTCCTTTTTAGTTCCGTCGCTCTTGACGTGCCCTTAGAATACATTTAAACGATTACCTTTATGAAAAATGAAATAGTTGGAATGCACTTCATTTTAAGCCTAGTGTTAAGACAATAGAGCTCTTTTAAAAAGAACTTATTTAATTAAGTTAACTTGACAAGGACAATGAAGATGTTACGTACAAGTAAACTGTGAAGTGTTTCATTTCTACTATTTGGACGAACGTGAAATTGTGAAAAAAATATTTCTTGATTTAAATTTTTTTTTAAACAAACTTTTTAACTGTCATTAGTATTTCAAGGCAGAGTTTTAAAATATTAATATTAAATTCACCTTGTGTCTTTCCAAATGCTTCTCAAAATCTTTTTGTTCTGCGATAAGATCAGCCAGCTTTGGACCGTTAAAGGGTCGTGGTGCTCTATAGACTGCATTTGCATTAGCCAGAGATCTTGGTATAGTTTGGATGGCAACTCCTGGATCTTCCGTACTCATGCCATATGCCCTAGGCCCTTGGAAACTGAATCCAACATAGAAGTACACCTTCTTAAGCCACATGGGCTTTTGCTTAACACGGTGGGATGTTGGAATATTCACTTGAAAAATGTTTCCATTTCTGTTTAATGGCAATTTTACAATATCTCCACCTTCAAGAAGAATCCCTGAAAAGAGTTTAAGCTTATTTCGAACACCCGGGAGCTGCCATTTTTCAAAAAGTGTATAGTCTTTCATCATCTCCAAACTCGTATAATGCCTTATGTCGTGCAGAGGTCCACCATTGCCCAGAAAAAATGGGGTCGTCACTTTTCTTGTAACTGTTTGCTCCTGCCCATGGATGGGATACTTTTTTGGAAAGCGTCATGCCATAGATCCAAAGTACTGGATAAATCCAGAGGTAAGCATAGCTTATGGGACGATCTTTCCTCGGTAGGAAAGTTAAAAAGAACATAATATAAGTATGGCTCGAGATAGATTCTGTCCACGGATTTAGTTTTTACCAAACTACGAAGCTGTTTGCACCATTCTAGTATCTGTTCGTACTTTAAATCCACTTGGATAACTTGATCCAATAACATCACCGTTACAGTGTCCATTAAAGCAAGTAAATTATCAAAAGAACTGTTATCCATGCTTACATTTTCATGTAAAAGGCGATATATTTGTTTGAGTTTTTTATGTTCTCCATTCTGTTTCATTTGTAACAGATTGTTCAGGGATGTAGCACCCAGGTATCGTGCCGTGTGATATCTGTAAATGCTCTTATCCTTTTCACTTAAACTCCTGGATGGATTCTTATTTGCCTCTCCAAAGTAGGAATCAATATTAACTTTCAAAATCAAGAGAGACCTGTTACCATTTTCAAATGACTGGGTTGAAGACTCAGAACTGGCAGTTTCTTTCATTTGAAGATATTCCTCATCAAGTCGACGCATTGCTTCTTGGGAAAATTTTCCAAGGCTTCTTATAAAATCAGATTCTTCATCGGTGAGAAAATCAAACGCTGGATGTTTAAAATTTTCTTCTATTAAATATTTATGCAGAATATCTACTTTCCTAGATGCTTGAAATTGCTTAAGACCACTTAAGAGGAGAACAATTGCTCTCAATTCACCAAAGTAGCCGGCAAAGTTGTTTTCACCATCAGTACTGGATTCATTTTCACTTGCTTTTTGCTCTTTTCTGAAACGTTGAATGCATTTTTTAGATAGGGAGATCACTTCGTGAATATCACTTTCATCAAAACCTCCTTTATCTAAAGAATTCTCAGTAACAATTTTGTCTTGTAACTGGTTTTTAAACACTTGGCTGTAAGTATCCCACAAAAATGAATTGGTAGAATACATTGAAGTTGCAATTCTTGCATATTTTTCTGCCAGATTCCAGTTTTTGAGCTCCATGTAAAGCCGAGCAATTAACTGGGCGGTGAATGGATCTTGGTTATGTTGAAATAATGCAATGACCAAATTCTCTGCTATTTCAAATCCTTCATTGCATTTTATGTATGTCACGAAATTAGAATACCTTTCCTTTTTATTATCTTTAGTTTCCCTTTGTTTAAAGACATTATTTATTATGTCTTGAAGATCTTTTCTTTCATCATTGTCTTGTCCAAACCCGACGCATTCTATCAATTCGAGCATAATTTCACTTTCCTTCTGCTGGGTACGTTCTTTCATTCTTGCCAAGATTTCTATGGCAATGACTCTATTAAAAACTCTCAAACACTGTTTGGATTTTCCATGTTGATTAGTTGTTGAAGATATGTTCAACAGTACTTTAACACCTTGGCTCAGATTGGTCTCCCATTTCTTATCTCTTTTGACCGGTTCAGATGACTGCTGCTTTCTACGACAGGGAGAGACTTCAAGGATCTTATCCAGACAAGCTACGGGGATTTTTTTGAAATTAGGATCATAAGTGTTTAAAAGGGAAACAATTTTTAATAGTTTCACTTCCATTTCTATTTGGACTGCATCTGAAAATTCTTTCACCACATTTAAAACATAGTCTTTGTTAAAATTTTCTCTCAGTATGTTAAACGAAATAAGAAATTTCGGATTTGCATTTGTATCCTTGTTTTTGTTATATTGTGCCATTAGTCTATCATTTGTATCTCGAAACCAATCCAATTCTATCTGTGTTAACTCTTGCTTCAAAGCTATCTGTCTCGGTTTCAACTGTTTGGGTAAAGAGGGTCTTCGAATGCAGACAATTATTGTACAGTACACGTCAAAATGTTCATCTGTTTCTTTCCAGCGTTTCCTTCCTTTATTTTCAAGATTTCCCCTCAGTTGGTTCCAACGGTCTTCATCTTGGTTATCAATAAGGATCAACAGTGGCTTTGGCTTATTGTCTTGGAACCGTCTGACCTCATCTAACTGGTCACATGTCTGATCTGTTATGGTGCTAACTACACAGCACCTGTATTCTTTACGCATGTCCCATAACACTTGTTTTGCAGATGTAGTTCCCCCTGCTCCTGGTTGGTGAAAGAGACGCAAGTAGGTGATTTTATCATCGTCATCCTTGTCGTGGCCATTAAGAGCATCCCTCACATTTTTCATAAGTTCTTCATGAATATCTCGTTTCAAAACTTGATTATGGAAATACAAGTTAAGCCAATCAACTTGTTCACCCTTGTAAAACTTTTCACCTACTTCTCTTTTCCTCTTTTGCCGAAGTTCATCACTCACGAAGTGAAAATCCCCAGCAGTCAAAATATTCAGGTCACACCAATCTTTCAGTTTTTTCTCACGAATCTCCACTAGTGCTCCTGTAGAACATGGAAGAATGCATCGATGTTCTTCAATTCGTTTAGTAACACTCACAATTGTTGAATTAACGTCGGCCCATTGCATACCAATTATGCACCGATCAGAAAGATCTTTTTTAGAGGCTCTGTTTCGCCTAAACATTTCATCCCTCCACTGATCAACTTCTTCCTCTGTTTCAGCCAGTAGTAGCCAATTGTTTTCAAGTTTAGTTAGGACCTCATCACATGCTTCTATCATTGCAGAATATTCTTTTGAAAATAAGCATATAATAAAAATGATTCTGTCCTGGCCGAAGCGATCAATGTAGAATTGCAAAGCCTCTTGAAATGGGCTACGTCTCTTTTTGTTCCAATCACAAGGATCCATTGCATCAGAAAGGTTTTCTGAATAACCATTACAAAACATCCAAGTAATTCGATTTTCATTCGTAAGACCTTCATTTAAAGCTTTGTAATCTTCAGGTTTGCGTTGTGCCTTGTCAAATGAATCCGATGTCACTACTCTCATTTCAACTTCCTGCTCACTGTCAAGACTTTTATAGATACCATTTGTTGACCCCGTAGGATCAAAATCAAACACAATTTCAGGTTGCAGTTGTTTTACAAATTGCGTGTTCGCCAACAGATATGGCATGTCCATAGAATGATGATCTATTGTACTTGTCAAAAAGAAAGGATACACCTGGTCTTGCATAATTTCTTCCCCTCCTGTCAACAAATTTAGGATCCGCCTTCTTAAGTTTGGCTGATCGTTTCTTTTCTTGGTACCCTCTTCTTGTTTTCTTTGTTGATTGATTGTTTGCTTGTTATTCTCAAAGTGATTCATTTCTTCGGGATTCAAAACTTTTGGAAGGCCTGTTTCTGAGAATCCAAATACACCATCTTTTCCTTTGCGTTTTTTAGAGTGTAGAGGCAACCATGAAAGTTTTGTCCTGATGGTCTCCGTTTTTAAAGTCGCTAAACAAGGCACGATATCAACCTCGATAACATGTAGATTGGTTGTGCTTGTCCCAATGACCGGTACAAATTTTGCCTCTCTAACAGTGGATTCAATAATAAATCTCTGTGTTTCTAAGAACGATTTCGTAATGAATTCGCTAATCTCTGCTTGGACATCTTCAGGTTTTAAGTCGACCCCAACGATTTCCCCTGCTTTGAAACTGCTGCTTTTGTCTGGAGAGATACCGAAGTAAATGGTTCCATTTTGTCTCTCATTGAGACATGCTGCAGCAAAAGGAATAACCTCGGACCCTATAAAATCCAAAGCTTTATCTTGATTTTCTATCAGGTGAAAATTCTTTATCGGCCACGTTTTCTTGCCCTTAGTGTGAGTGAAAAGCATGTCCACACATCGGCCTTGGTGATATTTGACCATACTGGTCACTTTGGTCTCGAATTTTCTAAGGTTTTCTGGAGGCAGTTTAACTTCGGGGCGTTGGGAATAGTCTTTACTATGCTCTAAAAATGTTTTTCTAACACCGTATGATGCTGTGGGTATTTCTTGTTGAAAGTCGTCATCTGTCATTGCAAGAAATACTTGTCCGGTGATATCTTTCTTCTCAAGTTCCTGTAAAATGCCGACATCCCAACCATTCTTTTCAAATATGGGAGTAAAAAATGTCCTCAGTTCTGATTGACTCATGTCTTTCATGTTTTTCAGTGGTGTTGCTGAAAAAAATTATAACTATCTGAAACACAGCTGACTAGTAGCTTGAATGGAGGAAATAAACACAAGTGTAATATATATAAGATTATAAGCCAATGTTGTCATGAACTGTCGTGTTCACAAGGATCGCAAAATACTTTTTTTATTATAATGGCTTATTAAAAATGAACGTACGTAAATCTATTGTTAAATAACGGTGAGCAATATACAACAGCTGCATAAGGGCAGAGAACACAAAAGCATAGGATAGATATCAATTAACAATGGAAGTGTAAAGAACAGTTTTTAATAGGATAAAAGAGCTTATATACATGATCTAGCGTCAACAGCACAAGCAGCAGCCAGAAAGGGAAACATGAAAGAGCTCTAGGATATAATAAGAAAGCTCTCAGGAAGATACAAGGAGCCAGAAATACTGGTTAAAGGCAAGGGGTAATAAGGGGAGAGACTGCAATCAGGTTAGTACAAAATAAAATGAGTAAAACAGAGTATGGTTAAACCTGAAAAATTAAACGCAACAAAACAGCGAACGTGTCGGCAGAAAGCCTTCGTCAGCGAACAAAACAACAGAAAAAACGTTATAAAAATAAGAAATAGCACTTAGCTGGTAAGTAGTATCTGTATGTCCACAGACACACCTGACATACAACCAGCAAATGAAGGCTTACAAATAGAAGACCAAATATTTTCCCAAAGAGCCGTGGCTATCCAGCAGTTTAAAATTAGGAAAGCTAATGATGATGAGAGCAAATATAGATACAATAGTCAACATGTTGCACCCTCTGTTTGAAAAGATATGGGAAGAAGAGAGAGTTATAAAAAATTGAACTCAAGGATCACTCGAGAAAGAGGATCTCAAATAACTGTGCAAACTACAGAGGAGTTACACTGCTGCCTGTAACGGGAAAGGTTTTATCAGAATTATTTTGAATAGAATGAAGGACCAAGTCGACATGCAGTTACGAGATCAACAGAATGGCTTCCACCAAAAAAGATCATGCACATATCAAATTGTGACACTGCGAATCAAATGGAGCTTCATCTTTTTTTCTAATTTAAGAAAAGGCCTTTGATCCTGGACCGTCAAACCTTGTGGAAACTTCTCCGGTATTATGAGGTACCAGGAAAACTAGTCAGGATCATTCAGAAGTTCTTTTGAAGAAATGACATGCAGGGTGGTACACGTAGGTAGACTCACAGATGACTTTAATTTTAAAGTGGAAACAGGAGTCAGACAAGAGCAGGAGAGCAGCAGAAGCTGAGCTTCAAGAATATCAACAATTTTGAAAATACGCCTTACGTCAGCGCTTCAGGACCAATGTGGAGACATCTGGACAGATCACTCTCTGTCATGTGACTTCTACTGCAACTGTCAAAACAGGAGATTATCCCTTTCGAGACAAGAAATATGCCTGCACCACAATCAGTCACACCAATGAAAAGCCTGGACGAGCAAGCATGAAAATTAAATTGCACTTTGAGGTTGACATAAAAGACGCAAAGATATGACATGGCCTTCAGGAACGTGATGATGCGGTCAGAAGATGTTATACGGCACAGCCCAAGAGATAGAGCAGGTTGCCAATGTACTAGCCGGGGTCTTTGAGAGCGTAAACTGAAGCCCCTCCAGAATAGGTGATTTAGCTAGTCAGACATTGTTAGAAATATATTTACCGGCCATTCTATAACTTTTACAATGTAATGCATACCTTGTCCTATGGGATCCACGCTTTCTGGTTGATCTGTGCTTCCTGACTGCACTATCTCTTGATCTGTTTGTTCAACTTTCACAATATTTGTTAAGTAGCTGTCACATTTGAAGGAAATTGAACGACAATGTGTTTCCATTAATCTAAATGTGCGTTATTAATTTATTATTAAAAAGGCTGAATTATGCGTATACGTAAAAGAAAATATATCAAGAATGAAAGATATTTAATTTATTGAAAATGTACGTGCTGATAAGCAAACACAAGTTAATTTCTTAAAGTAATCTACGGTTTACGTCCAAAATGTAAAAAAAAAAAAAAAAGTTGCTCGCCCCTGGACACATCTCACATTTTCATCTTCCTAAAACCTGTTTGATGTTTCTAAAAGCCATTCCAAGTAAGTTGCGTAGGTTAATTCAAACACACCCAATAATATATATTTTTTTTCCCTCTTTTAAATCTGGTTTACTTTCAATCTGAACAATTCCTTTCGTATCAGTTCAAGTTCAAGGTATCGTTATTAAATCCATTTTTACATATCGATTGATTAATGATAAATAGACAAACGATGGCCCCGACTAAGGCGGAACAACCTTGACTATTGCCCGATTATTAATGAGTTTAAATTACTTGCTTTTTTTTTTAAATCCCTGATTTTATTAATTAACTATGTAAATAAATAATTTATCTCTATGTTTTTTTACAAAGCAAGAATACATTTTGGTTTGCCTATTTCTCCCAACTCGTTTCTTTCTGTTGATCTTTTCAACTCTGGTAAACTCCTTGCAGATGAACTCTAGGAGCGTGGCATTGTCCCACTCATTGTGGTCTGTAAAAACCCCCTCGTGTTTCAGCATCTTTCTGACGTCAGAGAGTGGTGTTTCAGCCCCATCTTTATCGGTATAATGCTGGCGGAGACTTTCTTTGACGCTCTTGTCTAAAAGATGTGGGTCAACTGAATGTAGTATACACAATATGTGATTAGTTTCACTGCAACATTTTACACATATATTTTAAATTATTATTAGACAATCTAATATCTTGATCATCAAATAATTTCAAATTTCTATAATGATGAAACCAGTCAAACTAAGAACATTAACTGCGTGTGTGTAGATTAAAAATATCCTTAATTAAAAAAAAACTATCATATTTTTTTACTTTGATAGGTTGTGCTTGATATGTTAAAACTTATCTGAAATTTGACATGGTTCAATTCTATTTGTTAAAAATAAAATACCAGATTATTTTTCATCCCTTTTGCAACATAATCTAACACATTTGCTACATAATGTAGCATATTTGCAACATAAACTAGCACATTTTGAATGGAGTTCAAATATGTAAAATAAAATATATAATTATTGTAAAATATATTCGAAGTAATCTTTTAGTAAATGCCACGTTTAAAAATTCGACCCGTAAAGCAAAACTTGATCCTTCGTAAAGCAAAACTTGATCCTTCGTAAAGCAAAACTTGATCCTTCGTAAAGCAAAACTTGATCCTTCGTAAAGCAAAACTTGATCCTTCGTAAAGCAAAACTTGATCCTTCGTAAAGCAAAAATTGATCCTTCGTAAAGCAAAACTTGATCCTTCGTAAAGCAAAACTTGATCGTTTGCAGTTGCATTTTGTTTGTTTTGTTTTGTATAAGCTTTTAAAAAAAATGAATATAAAGATCGCACAATTGTCAGATTTTACACCACTGCCTCCACCTTTGCACCCATTCTCTTTTAGATAACCACAAACCTCATCAGTACTTTAAACGAACTCTCGACGTCCCACACCAAAAAAAAAAAAAATCAATTTATAAATAAAACGTTATGACTTGCAAGACAATAAAACAAGGTCAGGTCACTGTAAAGCAGTATAAGACTTGCTTTGTTAGGTTAGGGTTAGGGTTAGGGTAGTGCAGGGTTAGGGTAGTGTAGGATTAGGGTTGGGTAGGGTAGGGTAATGGTAGGATAGGTTAGGATAAGGGTAGGTTAGTTTCAGGTAGGATAGGGTTGGGTTAGAACAGGGATCTCAAACTCAAATCATCCGGGGCTGCAGCAGGAAGAGTCTGAGTGAGACTGGGCCGCATCAGGTATTCCACAAAAAGTGATTACGAATTCAATAAAGTACAACTGCTACAATGTTCTCAACTTTTATCATTAAAAATAAAAACATTAAGGGTTCTCAAGAACTAGGCTTCACTCTCTTCCTCCTACTCATTGTTGCCAGGAACCTGGTAGCGCTTCTTCCTACACACCTGACCAACATTTGGCGTGAGTGCGGAAACAACTGAGACCCTCAGTATAGCTTGAAGATGCTCATCAGTAAGTTTGGCCTTAAACTTTGACTTGTTAAAGTTCATAGTGGAAAATAGCCTTTCACACAGGAACTCGCAAAAAAGTCACATGATCCGCTTGAACAACCTGGAGATCTCAGGGAAGGTAGAGGGCGATACTCTCATGAAGAACACTGAAGATCAATCAGCTCCATTTGAAGCACAATGGGGGTGGGGGCATCTTCCACATTGTAGGTGAAAGAGTCAGCAAAAATGTGAAAAGTGGTCCTGTGTGTTTTGAAGTCGGCAAACATGTGATCCAATTCTTCCTGCAGCTTGCAATGGAGTCCGTATACTAACTACTGAATGGTGTGCCCGGGTCCATGAGCACTTTGCATGTTGCGAAATGGTTCTCTCGGAATCATAACAAAAGTTTTCAGCAGAATGCCCTGACAT